ATGTTGGGGCTCGGCATTGAAGGGAGCCCTTCGACAAGTTCTGAGGAGATCTTCAGAGTAGTTCTGTGGAGAGTTTCAGAGTAGTTCTGAAGAGACCGTCAGAGTTGTTCTGAGGAGACCATCACAGTAGTTCTGAAGAGAGCTCCAGAATAGTTCTGAGGAGACCTTCAGAGTTGTTCTGAGAAGAATTTCAGAGTAGTTCTGTCGAGAACTTCAGAGTAGTTCTGAGGAGAATTTCAAAGTAGTTATTTGGGGAGTGTCAGAGTAGTTCTGAAGAGAACTTCAACGTAGTTCTGAAGAGACCTACAGAGTTGTTCTGAGGAGAGTGTCAGAGTAGTTCTGAAGAGAACTCTAGAGTAGTTCTGAGGAGACCTTCAGAGTAGTTCTGAAGAGAATTTCAGAGTAGTTCTGTCGAGAACTTCATAGTAGTTCTGAGGAGACCATCAGAGTTGTTCTGAGGCGACCTTCAGAGTAGTTCTGAAGAGAATTTCAGAGTAGTTCTGTCGAGAACTTCACAGTAATTCTGAGGAGATCTTCAGAGTTGTTTTGAGGAGACTTTCAGAGTAGTTCTGAAGAGAATTTCAGAGTACTTCTGTCGAGAACTTCTGAGTATTTCTGAGGAGAATTTCAGAGTAGTTGAGAGTGTCAGAGTAGTTTTGAAGAGAACTACAGCGTAGTTCTGAAGAGACCTTCAGAGTTGTTCTGAGGGGAGTGTCAGAGTAGTTCTGAAGAAAACTCTAGAGTAGTTCTGAGGAGACCTTCAGAGTAGTTCTGAAGAGAATTTCAGAGTTGTTCTGTCGAGAACTTCACAGTAGTTCTAAGGAGACCTTCAGAGTTGTTCTAAGGAGACCTTCAGAGTTGTTCTGAGGAGACTTTCAGAGTAGTTCTGAAGAGAATTACAGAGTAGTGCTGTCGAGAACTTCAAAGTAGTTCTGAGCAGAATTTCAGAGTAGTTATGTGGAGAGTGTCAGAGTAGTTCTGAGGAGAACTTAAGAGTAGTTCTGAAAAGACATTCAGAGTAGTTCTGTCGAGAACTTCACAGTAGTTCTGAGGAGACCTTTAGAGTAGTTCTGAAGAGAATTTCAGAGTTGTTCTGTTGGAAACTTCACAGTAGTTCTGAGAAGATCACCAGAGTTGTTCTGAGGAGACTTTCAGAGTAGTTTTGAAGAGAATTTCAGGGAAGTTCCGTTAACTTCAGAGAAGTTCCATTGGCCCTAGGGAACTCCGGGAAATTTATAAAACTTCCCGGGAGCACCTGGCACATTTCTGGCCAGCGTGGTCTGCAGTGCTTAATATGGCCACCGATGTTCTTATTTTTGAATTTTTATGTAGTTTGATGTGTCACATGAGGATGTAGGTTCAAGTTTCACTTCTCCGGGGGTACCCGAAACATGTTCGGATCTGATTAACGTGGTCTTCAGTACTTGATATGGCCATCAATGATCATATGTTTGAATTATCATGTAATTTGATGTGTCACATGTGGGTGTTGGTTCAAGAAGAATCTAAACAGTTGCCCGTTGTGTGTGCGATTGATTCACCTCACTAATCCAGCTAATTGGTGAGAAATTACTCGTTGCATTAGTGTTTGTGAAATTCTGTCTGGAAAACCCTATAGCAAAAAAGTTAGCTGATGCTCGATTTGTCAAAATAGCTCCAATTGTACCAACCTTTTTTTTATTGTGGCAACATTTGTTTTTATCTCGTTTGAAAGTGCTAAAATGGAAGTTCCGCGAAGTGAAATCGTTGAGTTTTGGATGCTTGGACGCAGTGATTAAAATGTTATAAAATATTTGCTGGATAAATATCCTAATATTTCTGTCACGAGTGCTCAGAAAATCATAAGAATTGAAAAACTTAACTATTCGACGCGTTGGATGAAGTGCAAACGTACACTTGCCCGGTTCCGACAGTTAAGACCGTTCTCCGAAAGCTCCGACAGGACAAAGAGAAACCGTTTACGAGCGGTTTGAGAAAATTTCACCACCTCGGAGCTCGGATTTGCAGCGGCATCTAGCGCAAGAGAAGCTGGTCGTCGTCTTGGTGGTAAGATCATAGAAAAAATTGCCAAAATCCTAAAGCAGTCCACATTGTTCACGTCTGAGATTAACGAGGTAGTAGCATTGACTCCTGAAGAGGCTATTGGTTTTATCGTTAGAAACGACCTCAGCAAAGCCCAATGTCATGATGTTCGAATGACCACCATCAAACAAGGTGCAAATAGATATCCCTCTTACAATACCGTCCTTGAAGCAAAGAAACTTTGCTATCCCTCTGGTATCAAGTCGTCCAAAGCGGATGTTGTTCTCCAAGACCTTGTTGACCACACAGTAAAGCGTATTCTTGAGTTCCTTAAATATGATACTACAATACAAAACAAACCTTTGATTCTGGTAATGAATTGGGGATGTGACGGAAGCTCGAATCACTCCGGGTTAGCACTTCTTCACATAAAGATTATGACGTATACTTTCTAGTTAATGTTTTGTTTTGTCATTGGCAATGGTGCTTATTATTTTTACTGCCTGCAATTATTTCCCAAGATATTAAAATATGTAATTACGTCTCTTTACATAGGTACCACAGACAAACAGACGTAACTCTTTGAACAAGTTTTTCTTGAAAACATAGTATCTCAAAACATAAGACGTCAGTAACGACATCTCTCTGGCTTCTCGCGGAAAACAAGATTGCTCGCTAATTCGCAAACAATATTGCATAAAAGTTCTATAGAATGTATAGAAACGTCAAAGTGATCCGATGCCAGCGCTGCGGCGAGTAGTTCGCGGAACTGATAATATTCAAATCAACCGTTAAATACATGAACGAAGATACACAATGAAGTGTTACGTCTGTTTGTCTGTGTAGGTACCATCAAATTTTCTATGATGAAGATGAGGATGGTGAACTGCGTGAGTATATCGACTCAAATCGGTTCAATCGTCCCATTACGTCTGTCCGAGGAAACCAATGGGCTTCAGCAAAGCATATGGAACAATGATCGCCCTTCTTCTGTTTGTTTGTGTCGTCCAAAATCATTGATCTTTGAAACAGAGAGTGCTGTTCTCACTAATCGAGTGATTGTGAAAATGGACGCAGAAATTCAGGAGCCTGAGCCGACGAAAGTAGGCGGTATATCTATTGCTACAAAAATGTGTTTTACCATGGTCGATACAAAAGTGATACGCATTCTCAATCTTGCTACATTTGCCTGCGTAGTGGGAAGAAACTTAACTTAGCTCTAGAAACAGAAGACTCGGTTGACCCACAAAAGTACAAGTTCGGTGTGTCGCCACTACTCGATCAATGGAAATGTTGTTGAAAATAGCTTACCATTCAGCTCTCAAGGAGCAGTTGGGGTTACGGATAAGCGAACCTCGTCCAGGGAAAGACAACTCTAACTCCGGAAATGTCGCAAGACGTTTTTTTTTTCAAGAAAGAGAAGCTGTTGCTAGAATTACTTGATGCAAATTTGATGGAGAAGTTTTTCGTAATTCTGACACTGATAAACATATTAGACGAAATTTTGATTCATAACGCTTGTTCTCGTATGGGTCGGCCTATGTGCTCTACAAAAATATGTAAAAGTTGATATTTTCAAAACTGAATTTCTCCAGATCTAAAATTTAATACAATACGACCTTTTCATAAAAAATAAAATAAGAAAGTTAGAGTAAAATAACGGATTTTTTTAGAGACACCCTAGGTCAACATATAAAAACTACTCTAAATCGGTTATTTTCCAACCTTTTTGAAACTTTTTTTTTTCAAAGTAAGTTGAAATTTGATAAGCTACAACTTTTCCTGAAAACATATGCCTCTATCTCTTAAAATAAGAAAGTTAGCTTTTTTGATTTTATTGATAATAAGTATCACCCTAGTATCTCTTGACACTAACATAAGCGCCTAACTAATAGCATCAACTTTGCTGAAGACATCTTTTTGCTAATTTCAAACTCAAAATCCATCTTTCCTGCTAAATTTGCTTTTCTGGATCACTGTGTACTGTCCAACTTGATGGTGCCTAGCAACTGCATATGAAGATTCCGTTGTTTTTGACAATTACGAAACCACTTCTTGAACGAGATATCTACCCATAACTTGTATTGTAGCCATCTTTGCTCTATCCGCTACCCAGTAGCCGTTATCGGGAGGAACTCGATACAGCTCTGCAATGACTGCAACATTGCACTTGGTTTCCGTTGTCGTCTGCCACAATGTGTGTGTGTCCCTAAAATTAGTCAAATGTCGACTGAACAATTCAATTTGTATCAAACTAAATTCAAATCCATCTCAAAAGCAATGCTCGTCCTCTTTCAAAGACACTATTGGATTTGGATCCCACTTTTCTATCCTCGCATTTCCACCATACCATCCGGAGAATCCGATTGCAACTACTTTACCCGGCAACATGAGCCGGAAAGCGATGAGACGAAACGGATAGTCCAATCAACAGTGATGCGTGAATATTTGATGAAATATGATCCCACGGTGTGGAGGAGGTTAGGTACGTACACACACCGATGATGCCAAGCAGGTCTTCTGTGAACAAGTTCTACACAACACACCCGTCATAATTCGTCCCATGTGTGCCTCCCGGCTGTCAACTGGCATGAATAAAATGTCAGACGTGTGTCAGCCCGGAATTGATTTTCTGTGCTCGACAAAAGAAGAAAATTTATTGCAAGTAGATTGGATCTGGAATCTAGTTCTACGCGCGTGGGCACTCGGTGGGGGGAAATTGAGTTTTCCACTTCCCACAAACGACAAGACACCAGATTTACACCCTCGCGTTCGAAAACCAATACAACAACTGTGGAGACGACTCTTGAACGTTCGAGTATGTCACCGGGAACACAAGTGTGGAGAAAGAATGGACCGTAAAAAATGTCAATAATAAACCTATCAAGCCATGGCAGGGGAAATGGCAGTGGGTGCAACACTTGAGAGCCCTCTCGCCTTGGGGCTCTTAACCGTAAACTATAATCACGTCGGCTTACCGTGAAGTGCTCCGCCGAGTTGTAGTCTTCGTCCAGATAGACCCGGATCCGATTGTAGTCCGCCAGCTCGGCCGATTCGCATAGATTCTTGATAAACTCCTGCACGTACTCCATGGACTTTTCGTACGTCTTGCCACCGACCTCCTGGAGGTGCAGCGCAATGAAAGCCGGTCGCCGACTGGTCACATTGCTGAGGAATTCCTTGATCCAGATGTTCAGCAGGCGGGATGGCTGTTGGTGAGGCAGAGAAGAAAAAAAAAGGTCGATTAGTCTAGCTGCAAATTAAGCACGGTTAAGCTTCAGGAAACAATACGATTTAATCTCTGCATCCCTAATGGATCCCGATTCCGTGGGGTGAAATAATCTTCGATCACGGAAACCTTGCTTCATTTCATGCTTATGGCATGGCTACTCATTCAACCATTCGGTCATTCAAGAGAGAGCTCCATCGTCGTCGTCGTCGTCATGATAATGAATGTTAATGTAAAGGCGACCAACAAATAAAGAAGCCGCAGCCCCAATTGATGAATTCGTTTTCGTAATGCCCTTAGCGACGACGCAACGCATGCCAATGTGGACACGATGACGGTGACGGCGACTGTAGTGATAGATAACGCAGTTATTTCGTCGGTCGGGTACGACGGGGTTAAAGTGAGCAAAGCATATACTTAAGTACGGAACCGGTGCACAGTCAAATGGGGGTTTATAAATAGTGATTGCAGCTTTTATCGCGTTGTGCAGCATTTTTTAACGACGCGTTTGCAATCAAAATGTGCAGGAACTTGGTGCAGCAGTGGACCTAGGCTGGTTCAGAAGGTGAAAAGCTACTAGGTGATATTGATAACAGTTTTGGAAAATGACCTACTTATTGCTGATTGCATCTGAAACTGGACTGCCCCAGAAATGCAAAAAGTGGTGATAAAGGTGCACGTTTCCGTCAAATCGTTTTGATGTCTTCGGAGCACTTATTGCTTGCATCATAAGGAATGAGTGCAATAAATCTCCAGAATCATCTTCATCAAACAGCAATACCAAAAGGCTCTGAACACAACCCTGTTCTCCTGTTTAGGATTTTTTAGCATTAACAATTTATTTTCGCAAGCGTCTTCTAAGGTCAAAAGCTTCCTAAAGAAAGTTCAAGGAGCTTCCTAAGGAAAGTTCAAGGAACTTCTGAAGAGAAGTTGAAGGAACTTCCGAGGGATACTTGAAGGAACTTTTGAGGGGAAGTTGAAGGAACTTCAGGGCTGGTACCAATCACTGCCGTTAAAAATAGTGATTTTAGTGACCATGTTGATGAAATAAGTGACCAAATAGTGACTTATAGTTGCAAAAATAGTGACTAAAAAGTGACCCAAGAGAAGAAAAGTAGTCGTTATAATTGTAGAGAGTAATTGAAACACGTCTTTATCGGTTGACGTTGAACAGTGGAATGAAAATTTTATTCAGAAACTTAGCAACTAATAACAAGTGCATATAGCGACGCGAATTACTGGGTTGCTACGATCACAATACTCCTCCCTAATCCGCGACGCCAGTTAGCTTCCGAAACTTCTGCTGCTTCTGAACGGTCATCGGCTTCGTGAACCCATCGAAAGAGATGAACTAGCCTATGGCTAAAAATCTCTATAATAAAGAAAAAAAAAAAAAAAAAAGTGAACCCATCGGCTGGCTGTTCCGTTGTCGACGTGTAGCTCAGTTGGACGACACCATGCTGCAGGCTATCATGCACGAAATGGTACCGTATACTGACGTGCTTGGTCCGGGGGTTATACGAACCGTTGTTGGCGATGCTGATTGCCGATTGATTATCGCAGCACACGGAAATCGATTTGGCCTCGCAAAACTACGACTGCAGATTACTCCACCACATAGCTTCCTGGATCGTGCGAGACATGGCCATGTATTCCGCTTCACAGGACGAAAGGGCTACGGTAGGCTGCTTCTTGACGTTCCACGAGATCGCACCTCCCTGCATCATGAACACATAACCGGTTGTGGATTTCCGGTCGTCCGCATCTCCTCCCCAATCGGCATCGCTGTACCCAACTATGTCCGCTGGACCGCTTGTCGAGTACTCTAGCTTCTTGGTTATTGTACCTTTCAGGTACCGGATTATCCTCTTCACCGCTTCCCAGTGAGGACGGCCAGGGTTGGCACTGTACTGGCTCACAACGTTGACGGCAAAAGCAATATCCGGTCGGGTGACTTGAGCTGCAAACGACAAACACCCGACTGCTTCCTTGTATGGCACTGACTTCATTTCTTCCATTTCAGATTTCGTCTTCGGTGCCATCGACTTGTCCAACTTGATGCTTGGATCTGCTGGTGTTGCAACTGGGTGGGCATCGGCCATACCGAAGCGATTGACGATGTCTTCGATGTAGGCTTGTTGATCCAACCACAGCTTGCCTTCTTCACGCTTCCTCGTGATTCTGATGCCAAGACATTGTTGCGCCTCCCCGAGGTCTTTCATTTGGAACCGCTTGTGCAGATGGGCCTTCAGCTTCTTCTTTTGCTTCCGCTCGTTTGTGAAAATCAAGAGATCGTCGACGTAGATAGTCACAAACATCATCTTTCCTGCACGGATGCACCAGTACAAACAGGGATCCACGCTCGACCGTTTCAGTCCGAACTCCTGCAGCACCACATCCAACTGCGCGTTCCATACGCGGCTGGACTGCTTGAGACCGTAGAGGGCCTTCTTCAGTCTGCACACCTTTCCATTCGACGCATCGAACCCTTCTGGCTGGAGCATGTAGATCTCCTCGTCCTTCAGCTCGCTCTGCAGGAATGCAGTGACCGCGTCCATTTGGTCAATATCCAAGTTGTACCGCACCGCCAGTGCCATCAGATACCGGACGGTCGCGTACCGCACGACCGGGGAGTACACCTCGTCGTAGTCCAGACCAGGTCGTTGAGAGCAGCCCTTCACCACGAGGCGGGCCTTGTACCTCTGGATGGTTCCGTCGAGACCTCGCTTCGTTAGGTACACCCACTTGTTCCGAATCGCTTTCCGCCCTTCAGGCAGATCGGTGAGCACCCACGTGCTATTCTCGCTGAGGGATGCAATTTCCTCACGCATAGCCGCAATCCAATGATCTCGGTCCGGCCGCCGCAGAACCTCATCGTAGCTCGTCGGATCATCCATCGTATCATCGTCGCTCGTCGTGTTGAAGGATAACTGAGGGTAATGAACACCACCAAAAAAGGAACCGTAACTAATAAAGTCATTATACTTGCCTGGATTACGGCGCTCCCGACCGCTGCGCCTTAACCCTTGCTGCAACTCAGCTGGTCTAATCAGTTGCGGTGGGAGCGCAAAATCGGCACAGGCATCCTCGAATTCGTCTGCCTCACTGGACGAACTGTCGACAACGACGATGTCTTCCTCCGTTGTTTCGGTTTCACCAGGATTGCCACCCGGTTGATCGATAACAACAGCAGGCCCGGCTGCACCAGGTACGACGATGCCATTCGGTTGTTCGCCTAGAGGAAGCACAGCGTGTTGACCATCTTCAGGAGTATCAGCTGCACCGGACTCAGGACGATCATGGATTTCATCCGAACAAAGCTCCATGAACTCCACCGGCTGCACTCGTTGTTCTGCCATACAGATAGCGACGCCTTCTTCCAGTACCATGACATCTCGACTAACGTGGAAACGGTCATTCTCTGGATCATACACCCGGTAACCTTTCGTGTCTTCACAATAGCCGACGAAAATGCCTTTCTCGGATTTGGGATCAAACTTCTTCCTTTTCGCTTTCGGTACCAGAGTCATCACGCTCGAGCCAAAAATCTTGAGGTGCTTCAAATTCAGCTTCTTTCCGGTCCACGCCTTTTCCGGCGTTTTCTCTTCCAGGGAACGAGTAGGACATCGATTCACCACGTGAGCCGCGGTCGAAATAGCTTCTGCCCAAAACTCTTTTCCCAGCTTCGCATCGTTGAGCATGCACCGCGTCTTTTCAACCAGCGTGCGGTTCATGCGCTCTGCCGCCCCGTTCTGCTCAGGCGTATACGGCCACGTGGTTTGATGTCGAATCCCATCGGACTCCAACACCTTCCGGAAATCTGCATTCACGTACTCCTTTCCGTTGTCTGAACGCAAGATTTTTAGCTTCTTGCCCGTCTGTCTTTCCGCTTTGGCCTTGAACGACTTGAACGCTTCGAGTGCTTGATTTTTCTGCTTCAAGAAGTAAACCACCACCCGCTTGCTTGCATCGTCCAGGAACGTCATGAAATAACGGCTTCCACCCAACGACGAAATCTCCACTGGTCCGCAGAGGTCGGAGTGTACCAACTCCAACAGTTCTTCAGCTCTTGACTCGCTGCTTGGGAATGAACGCCTCGTATGCTTGCCCTCCAGACAGGCAACACATCCTTCTAACGACCCATCTTGGAAATCTATTCCGTTGGCGATTCGCTTGAGCTTCTTCAAACCACCTTCGTGAAGATGCCCCAGACGTCGATGCCAGAGCTCCATGCCGCTTGCCAAAAACGACTTCTCTGGCCAATTGACTCTGTAGAGGCCACCTTCCTCGACGCCGGTGACAACCAGATCACCGTCTTCGTCCCGAACTTCGCATCTGTCTTTGGTGAAAATAACAGTTTTGCCCTTTTTGCAGATCGTACTTACGGATAACAAGTTGGTGGCTAGGTCGGGAATCTTCAGAACACCGCTGACATCGATTCGACCATCGTTGCTGTCCAACACGACTGAACCCTTCGCTACGACCTTCATAGTGGCATTGTTCGCCGTTCCGACGTTGTGGTCCATCTTGACTTCATCGAGAAATTTCTGATCCGGCCGTGCCATGTGGCAAGTGGCACCCGAATCGAAATACCATTCACTGGTGCTGACGTCTCCCATGGCAAAAATGGAACAGAGACCCTTGTGTTTGCTCGCCTTTGCTTGCTGCTGCTTCTCCGGACACTTGGCAGCAAAATGACCCGGCTTCTTGCAGGTGTAACATAACTTTTCGCCTTTGCTACCGTCCTTGGATTCGCTTGGCTTCTTCCGGTTCGCTTTACTGTACAGGGCACCTTCCGCGCCGCTGCTGACCGGACCACGATCCAGCTTAACGTCCTGTAGAATTTTGGATTTCACTGCATCCGCTGTCAAAGCCGCTCCAGAGGCTTCGAGTCCCATTATCATGAGCTCGTACTGATCAGGAAGACCCATCAGCAACATCGCCGCGAGCCAGGAATCGTCCACCTTAAAGCCCACGGAT